TAAAGTAGATAGATTATCTGTGATCAAGAAATGTTATGAGTATTTAAGTAAAAAAGGCTACATAATTAGTTGAACACAATACCTTTATTTTGTTTGTTTATTTTTATGTGGTGTTGAGGATTGAACCCAGGGCCTCGCGCGTGCCAGGCGAGCGCTCTACCGCTGAGCTACAACCCCAGCCCAAAGATGTCTTAATTTTTAAAGGATTTGGGATATCTTCAGAAATTGTGTATGGAATGGATCATATGGTCTCAGATCACTGTCATACAGATTTCTAATTAGAGGTTCCTCTTTTAATAAGAGCAAGGTAGAGTAAAGTAACTCTGACTTTGTAATCAAATACACTAAGGTTGTCTATGGGGCCATTTTTCTGACCTCTGAATCTCCTTTTCTTTAGTATGAGGATCCTCACTATTTCACACAATTCTTGTGAGAATACTCTGGCATATATTAAGTGCTCAGTAAATGTTTGTTCCCTTGCCTTCATAGTGAGCAGGAAAGAGGAAGTCTCATTTGTTAAAATTCATGGTAAGCAGAGTGTTCTAATACAAACTTGTTTCTTTTTTCTTTTAATAAGTATTAGAATTTCTTACCTTGTGCAGGTTACAGAGCTAGAGTGAAAAAGTGAAGTCCTTAGCGTGGGAATTGGCTATTTTAAAAGCAGCTGCCTGCCCTTGTTGACTCTGGGGTACAACATGAAGCAGCTGACAACAGAGGAGAGGAAGGAGAACTTTCAGAGATGATGACAGTGAATCGCCCTGCCATAGTCTAAGTTCTGTATTTAGTGAAGGGACACTGGAGAAAATGAGCAGCAGGACAGTTGCTCAAGAAGATGTGGTAGCTGTAAGTTCCACCACCTCCCAAAGACCAAAATGCCTGTGGACATCTGCAGATTCTTTCAGCTCCTGATTCATTCATTCATTCTAAGGTTCTAAAAGTACAATAGGTAAAGGAAGTGAACTTTTTAAATTGTTTTGTTTTGAGGGAACAGGGCCTCAGTATGCCACCCAGGCTGGCCCTGGACTCGTGGGCTGAAGCGACCCTCTTGCCTCAGCCTCCTGAGTAGCTGGCACTACAGATGTGTGCCACTGGGCCCAGCTGAATATAGTCCACTATTATTACTTTAGGAAGCTACAGAAGGTATACATTATTGCAATTTTGGGATAACATTGGTAGAAGGAAGTACCTTCCCCCTGTATCATTTTTATGGAGAAGAATGATTCATAGACCTTTTCTGGAAAAATAAGTCACTATGAAGAGTGGAGAACTGCAGATCAGAGCAGAAACAAATGAAGCACTTGTCTTTATAAGGGCATTGACATTTCTGAAAAATACTGACATTCTTGGAAACGGGGGGTTTTAAAGTTTTTAGCTTAACCAAGGGGGAAAGAAAAAGTAACAACATTTAAAAAAATACTGGTGATCTGTGCATTTTAACTGCAGAGAGAAGGAACGTCCCCATGCCTCACCTCTGTTCAGAGTTCTGGAAGTCATTGTACATGTGGGAAGGGCCCCTCATCCTCCAGGTGGGTGGTGACTTCTCTTGAAAGTTAAGATGGAAATTCTTGTCCCCACTCCCATTTTCTGTGATAATGGATCGGTGACTTCACGTTCCTTGGAGGGTGTTACTTTCTTCCTCTGTAAAGTCGGAGATGTGCTGCACTATCTGACTGTTCCTCTCAGCTCAGAAGTTCCATGATGGAAAAGTCATGGATGGGAAGCAATTTTGGTAAAGTAAAAAACATCACACAGATGGCCAGTCCTCCTCAAGTATAAGTGGCACTTGGCCTGCTGGTCCATGGATCAGTCTAGGGGCTGTGTGCCCAAACCAGGCAATTTCACATCCAAGCATTCCTCTTGAAGAGTAGCACAAAGGAACACTGAGGTGGGCAAGGGCAGTAGGTGGGTGTGGGTATGAAGCAGAGAGATGGGCCACACCCCCCAGATTTTTTGCTACCTCACGGCTGACACAAGTATACTGTGTGTCCCTCTGGGCAGATCCAAAACCTTCATGTGTAATTATTTGAAGATAATCTTATAAGTCAGCTGTCATTACTGTGCAGACATCTCTCATTAACATCTTGACTACTGAGCATTTTTAAGAGCCTAGAGGACATGTTTAACTAAAGGGGCTTAGTTTCTCCTAAACCAAACTGCACATTATTGGCATCAGTTCTGGCCTACTCCACTTCAGAACCTTGTCCCCTTTTCCTTTGCATTTCATAACCACCTGGATGGAGTCTTTTGATGTGTCTCTCCACCTTCCTACCCTCGCAGTCCTAGCCAGGGCTGTTCTTCCCACCGAAAAGACAAAACTTGTCTTTTTGATTGTTTTTAAGTTTCCCATGACTCTCATTCTTAGCAGCTTTGTGAAGAGCCTTTCATTCCTCCAGTCTATATCTTTGTGCTGAGTTCTTTGCCAATGCCATGTTTTTAAAATACATTCTATTCTGTCCTATTCATCAGTCTAGTAATGCTTCCATCTCTACTGGAATGTTTTTTTGAGGCAAAGAAACGTGCCAAGAGAGAAGGCTTTCAAATGTGCAAATATGCTCCTGTTACTAGGTAGGATTTTATCACTCCAAAGATCATGGATAAAATTGGAAAATAAAACAAGAACAACAATAGACCATGAATACATAGCTCACAAAATGTATATAAGAAGTGTTCAGTCTTAATAGTGAAGGTATTTAAAAAGTTCTGATATATTTTTTTCACCTATTAGATTGGTTAAGAATTACAGTGTGGAGTTATTCAATATGATGGCACAGAAATAGGCAGTCTCATCATCTTCTAGTGGGAAAATTAGTTGTTATCACCTTCAAGAAGATAAAGTAGCAAAGTTTTAAGTATTTTCTTTGACCCATTGGTTCTTCCAGGAGTGCATCCTAAGGAAATATCTGAACAGAGATATATGTTTATGGTAATGGTATTAAATAATAGGGCAGTAATAAACTGTTGCAGTCTTTAAAAGTAGCTGTAGTTTTTTCTTCTCTCTATCCTTTCCCCTCTTCTGACATCAACAACCTGATTTTCCTTTGGGAAACTGCTCTTCCCCCATCTTGGTCCATGTGTTTGAGTTCCTAAGAGAAACACCCTGTGATGAAAATTTCCACATTGAAAGTTTATTGGGTGTGGGCTGGGGATGTGGCTTAAGGGGTAGCGCGCTTGCCTGGCATGCGTGCGGCCCAGGTTCTATCCTCAGCACCACATACAAACAAAGTTTATTGGAGAGTGCCTTAAAACCAACACTTGGCAGAGGGTTCAGAAAGTGAGGATTGGGCAGAAGGAGGAGTTGGCCCGTGCTTCATGAAGACTTGAAATGATCCCTTTAGGTGCTCCAGAGCTGGGATGATCTATCAGTGTAACTTGAGGCCAATGGTTGTGCTAGATATCCTATAGCAGATGGCAAATTATGAGATTCTTGCCTGAGCCCCTGTGCACACCTGCAAAGGCTTCCACAGGATTCTCACCTAGGAGTGGATCTTGGAGTTGCAGGGAAATCACATCTTCTACTCTAGACTACAGTGCCCTGGTTGGTTTCAAAAGAGCTTACTGATGACATATATTTATACACATATATATGTATGCATTACACATAAGTATACGTGTATACATATATATTTATAGTTATGTTTTTCTTTCCTATATAAAAATGCATATATATATATATATGTATATGTATATATGTGTTTGTGAGTGTATGTATATATAGATATCTTTCTTCCATCAACCAATGGAAGAGGGTTAACACTGGAAGGGTTGTGACCTTGGCCTAGGTGTTCTCTGGCCTACATGTTTTCTGCAGTTCACAGATCAGAATCAGATGAGAATCATCTACTGCCACCACTTCCAGCCACTGGAGGAATGAGTGCCTCAGTCCTGAAACAGGAACTGGGGTGGTGTACCTTGGCCCACTACATGTAAGGCTAACTCAGATCTTCATCCTGCTCTTGGCCCAGGCAGCAAATCTGACCATTCCAACAAATCCCTCCCTTCAAGTAGTAACTGGTTCAGGGTTTGAGCCCATCACTCACTACCAGCCAGTGAGATCCACTGTGAGAACTTTTGCTGAAACCAGTAGGAAGAGATATACTTGCTACTGCGCTCCTTAGGCTTGGCTAATGAAAGCATGAAGCTTGCCTTCACAGCCTATCTACCACTGAAGAAAATAAAGCCAAGGCTCAGAGAAGGCAAAGCCAAGAGATGGAGAAGAGTCTGAAGCTATTGTTTAGGTAATTAAATCCACCAGTTTAAAGTCCATGGACTTTTCAATTATAGAAGCCAAAATATTACATTTTGCATTACTCAATTTGTGGGTTCTGACAAGTGTAATTAATGTATACAAGAATAATGATATTCATAATACATTAAGTGAAAAAAAACCTCCAAATTTACATATAATAATGATCCCAGTCTTAGAACGTGCACATTAAAGAAAATGCAGGAAAACAGAAACTGGTCAGAAGCTAATCTAATTTTATTCAATATATTTCACAAAGACAGCGGGGGCTGAGATAGTTTTACCCTACTTCCTTGACCCTTAGACTGACTGGTAGGTTTTCATGAGGCAGGAACAGGTTTATAGGTTAGCCTGTTACTATTTCATGAAATCCTACAAATTGTCGTCCACTTCCCTCGGGATAGTCTTCTCATGGCCCCTTATTTCTCCAATTCATTTCACACCTTGGCTCCAGCCACGGGGAATCAGCTCACCAGGAACATTTGCCCGTTGAGGAGTGCACACCCCACGCGACTCTCGCTCCCTCCAGGAGCCCTAGCTTCGCTGCGGAGATGGGCGCTGCTCTGCGCGCCCCGCCACGGGCCTCTGGTCCCAGCCCAGGTCCCAGGCACAGACGAGACGCAGGTGCCATGTAGGTTTTCATTGCAGGAGGGGTTCAGAGCACCGCCAGCCCGCCGGCACCGCTAACTGCTCCTCGCCTGCGGCTGCGGGACCCCGGGCTGTCGAAGCCGGGCGGCGGGGCGGGCGCAGCTGCTTCCCCGCCCCGGGGCGGCGCCTGACTGGGGCCGGCGGCTCAGCCCAGCCTGGCTCAGCCGCCCTCGGAGTCAGCGCCGCCGCCGCCATGTCTTCCGGGGCCAGCGTGAGCGCCCTGCAGCGCCTGGTGGAGCAGCTCAAGCTGGAGGCCAGCGTGGAGAGGATCAAGGTGCGGCCCGCCCAGAGGCGCGCTCCCCTCCGCGCCCGGAGACCCGGGCTCCAGTCTCCACCGAGGGGCGTGAGAGGGGGCGGCCTGAGGCCGCGGCGGAAATGGCTGCTGACCCGGGCCCAGGGCGGGCGCTGGGGGCGGCGGAGGGCTCGGGAGACGCGGGGCTGCGGGCCGGGAGTGCGCGCAGGGCCCTGCGGGACCCAGCGACCTGGGGAGGAGGCCGGGTCCGTGGCGGCCCCGCGACACGGGCTTGGCCCCGCGGGCGTGGCACGGCTCTGGGGTTCCCCGTGGGCGCTTCCAATCTGGAAGGCTAGCCCTGGTCCGTGCAGCGTGGATAGCGACTTGGCGGGGACCCACGTTGCGGGCGACACGTTGGCGGCCTGGACTCGGCTGGTGAAGGAAGATGGAGTCTGGCGATGGGGAGGCGCGGAATGAATAGGACCTAGTGATGCTTGGATAGGATGAGAGCGAGAGGGAGGGGAAAGGGTGCTCAGGTTTCTGATGCGGTGACGGGATGGATGGATGGAGCTGCCGTGGCTGAGGTAGAGAGGAGGGGGAAGGAGTTTGGAAGAAACGAGTTCCGTTTTGGATAAGCGGACTTTGCGGGGATATCCAAGAGGTGTTCAGCTGTGGACTGAAGCTCAGAGCGCAAGGCTGAAAGAGGTCATTAAAATGTGTAGGAGTGAGAGGAAAAAAAATGCATTGCATGAAGAGCAGTGACCAGGGCGTGCGACCAAGGTCCAAACAGACAATTGAGGAAGAAGCAAGAGAAAGCAAGAAAGGGATTTTCAAACATGTGGCACTAGTTACTTGTGCAATGTTTCATTGGCTAAGAAGCGTTGTGTGTTTGGCAACCTTCTTCGTTAGACCTATGGATATGTTTGAACCAGCACTATTTTGATAGACTCAGTTCCCTGCACCTGGACATGGGCTATTCCAGGGAATAGAGTGATTTTAGTGGGGATGATAATAAACATTAGTATATAAAATGATTTCAGATAATAACGCTACTTGAAAATAAATCTGAGCTTGGTTCAGCCATATGGTTCTACTTATCTTGGCTGGACTCTCTCATGTATCTGCAATCAGATGGAGACTTGGCCGCTGTCTGCATGAACTTGGGTGGCCTTATTCACTTGTCCTGAGGTGGGCCGGTGGGGCAACCTGGTGGTTCTCTTCCCCAAGACTTCTAACAGGGCTAGGTTGGGCTCATTCAGGATGATGGTGGTCTCAGGGGCTTCAACTGTGGCAAAAGTGGTAGCTGCAAATATTCTTAAGGAGTTGATTTGGAACTTGCCAATTATTTCTGTTACATGCTGTTGGTCAAAGCAAGTCATAAGCCCAGCCCAGATTTAAGGGTAAGTAGATTCTTCCTGATTGTGGAAGGAGCTGTAAATTATTGTGAGCATGTTTGCTGTTTGCTACAAATGTATTACTAATTGTTTGCACTACTCTAAGTGCTTTACTTAACCATCACATCAACCTAAGGGAAGTGGGTTACTGTTGCTAAATATATTTCACAAATGAGAAAATTGGTACTGAGAAATTAAGTAACTTACCCAAGATCACATGTGTAGTGATAGAGCTGAATTTGAGTCCAGACATCTGGTTCTAGAGATTGAATTCTTAACCAATAACGTATATTTCCCCTAAAAGTCTGGTGGACAATTGAGGAGGAAGCAAGAGAAAGCAAGAAAGGGATTTTCAAACATGTGGCATTAGTACTTGTGCAATGTTTTGTTGGTTAAGAACATTTGTTGTGTGTTTGGCAACCTTCTTCATTAGACCTATGGATATGTTTGAACCAGCACTATTTTGATAGCCTCAGTAGAGACTCACTTTTCTGGAGTAGACTGGGTAAGAGTCCAGCTTTGCAAACATTGAAATAATTTGCTCTCATGGCAAACTTGAATATATCATATATATGCTTTACATAATGAAACTTCATACAAGGAACACTAGAGAGCTATTTCTTTGCCAATTCAGTCTCTGTTAAGAATAGAATTAGAGGCTGGGGTTGTGGCTCAGTGGTAGAGTGCTTGCCTAGCATGCACGAGGCACTGGGTTCGATCCTCAGCACCACATAAATGTAAAATAAAGATATTGTGTCCACCTAAAACAAAAATAAATAAATATTAAAAAAAAAAAGAATAGAATTAGATTTCTAAATGAACCTTCAGCTACAGCTTTTTCTTACCTTTGCTGGATAAGCAACTAAGTAAAAAATATCCTAAATTAAAGTTTATAGAAATTACGACCTTTCCTCTTTGGAATTGGGTTATTGGAATCAGCGAAAAAGACACCTGGAGATTGCAAAAAGCTTGACCTTTATCAGCTTTGGTGATCATATTCAGGATATCAGATGACATTGGACCGCGTCTGGCTGTGAGCAGTGCATCATGTTGCTGTGCCTTGGTTTCAGGTCTCTCAGGCTGCGGCAGAGCTTCAGCAGTACTGCATGCAGAATGCCTGTAAGGATGCTCTGCTGGTTGGAGTTCCAGCCGGAAGCAACCCCTTCCGAGAGCCCAGATCCTGCATTTTACTTTGAAGACTTGTAAGTAATGATACACCATGCCATCTTGGGGCTATGACATTATCACAAGGCTTCCCAAAGGATTTGGGCAACTGGGGTTTGAATATCTACTATTCTTGGGGGAATTAACATAAAAGACCAGGAGAATGTACAACTTTCCCTGAAGAGTGACTCTAGTTTGTAGACTAGACTGACTCTGCCTGTAGACTCTATCTAATTAAGACAAACTCAATTCTCTCTTTGGCACTAACTCATGAGATGCCAGTATCCTTATATAATTAAGTTCTTTAAATGAGTTGACTAGTAGTGATTTCTTGACCTTAATCCCCACCCTCTGTCCTTATATCATCCCCAGAGTTGTGATTGCTACTTTATAGACTTACAATTCTTGGAACTAAGGACTCCTCAGATGGAGAGACTTGTTCCTACCATGAGCTATGATCTCTTTCCTGAAAGCTCTCATATCTTTGTGTTTTAATGGAAGAAGAAATATAGTTACTGGGGGGAAGTGTGAATAGGGTTAAGAGAGCTTTAAAAATCGAGAGTGAAATGAAAACATCTCTCTGGTAGCACATTAGAGATTTCATGAGTTTAAATTCTTTGTATTGAGGTCTTATTCACATTTTCATTATTATTATTTTCTTTTAAATATTTTTTAGATGTTAATGGATTTTTTACTTTATTTATTTATTTATTTATATGTGGTGCTAAGGATTGAACCCAGGGCCTCACACATGCCAGGCAAGCACTCTACCACTGACCCGCAACTCCAGCTCCTTCATTATTATTTTTTAAGATGAAAAGGACCTAGATTTAGACTTTTTGGGCTAACATATTTCAAATGATATGTTCTACATGATATTTATACTGTAAGTAATGATATTAAGTTCTTTTTTGTAAATTTGTAAAAGGAATTGGTCACATGTAAAAGAAGGAAGTAGGGGCTGGGGTGGTAGAGCACTTGCCTAGCATATGTGAGGCACTGGGTTTGATCCTCAGCAGCACATATAAATAAAATAAATAAATAAAGTTATTGTGTCCATCTATGACTGAAAAAATATACATATATGTGTATATACATATATATAAAAGAAGGAAGTAATTCTATTATCAGGTACACTTGTACCTCTTAATGGAAAATATACATATTCAGGATATTAACATAGTTGTCTTGTGTTAGCATAGTAGTTTTCTTTTGACAAAGTACTTGTATAGCTATTATTCATCCAGTGATGTGGTTAGGATGTTGATTGTGTTTACCTGTTACTTTCTACTTTGTGAATACTAAATTGCCCTATGAAATAATGAATAGTTATGAATAAACCTTACTAAAGTGAAAACCAATCAAACTCTCTTTCTAATAGGGAAGAAGTTTGTTGAGAAATGCCTTCGAGCACAAAGTAATGAATGACTGACTCCAAGTCTCAAGAAAACACTTTTCTTTAGCCAAATGACTGAGATATTTCAGACCTTTCCAGTGTCCTGATCTTACAGCCAAAATTCTACAGAAATTAATGATTTTCTACTCAAATAAGGAAACTGAGTGAAGTAATAGAATTGTTTTAAGTAATAATGGCTTGGTTCTCCTGAAGAAGTGCTTTGTATTAAGATAAAAACCTTACCACCAATATACTAAAATACACCTCTTTAATAAGTGAGTTACTGGTGTTGCTATACCTAGAATATCATGTATGTTTTATTAACTGGATGTTTACATTTTAGGAAGGAAAACACTTTTGTTTATTAAAAAAAATGGAGTATTTGTAATTTGTTGTTCCTAAGATTTTTATACTATAATAAAATTTGTTCTATCATAAATTTATAATTACTAAATGAAGATAAGAAAGTATAAAATTGTGGGGGAAGAATAGACTTTACTAATCAAATGATGCCTTGATTTTTTCTAAATAAGAAGATTGTTTTATTTAACACAAGAGGTGTTGTTTAGAAAGATTCATGTTATGATATATATTAGGTTGTCTCATTTTATGTAAGAAGCAGATTTGAACTCTTTTTAAGTTCCTTTACTTTGTGGTTGCACTTTTAAAAAGATACTACATTATTTCATGCCTTTAAAAAAATGTTTAAAGTAGGACCTACATACAGAGCATTGCAAATGATTAAAAACAAAGTAATGTGAAAATATTATGACCTAAAAGAATTCTTCATGTCACAAGTGTTTGACTTTGATGATGTGCCTTTGATTTAATTTGGGATACTTTTAGAAGGATACTTCGTGTTTGGAATAATCTTTGAAGATCTTGGAAATAAATTCTGTTTAATTCATCATTTTCTATGACAGCAACATGTGTGTCTGATATTTTTCTTTTAGTCATGGATTTCTATTTGCTTGTGAGACTAGTGCTTTAAGTGGGAGGTAAAAATTTTATAAGTCCTTGTAGAATTTTATAAACATTCTGAAAAGTGTATATGTATAATATAAAAAAAAATCTTTTTTTTTTAACCAGCATTACTCTTTTTTAAAATTTTTTATTTGTTTTAATTAGTTATACGTGACAGTAGAATGCACTTATATACTTTGATATATCACACATAGATGGGGTATTATTTCTCATTTTTCTGAATATACATATTGTAGAATCATATTGGTCATACAGTCACATACATACATAAAGTAATAATGTCTGCTTCATTCTACTATCATTCTTATCCCCACATCCCCTGCCTTCCCCTCCTTTCACTTCCCTCTACCTAATCTAAGGTAATGCTATTCTTTTTTTTTTTTTTTTGCATTACAATACTTAATATACATATATACCACAATTTTTGTATCTCTCTTTGTATATAAAGTATGTTGACACCCAATTCGTGGCTTCATACATGTACTTTGGATAATGATGTCTATCATATTCCACCATCCTTGCTAATCCCCATATCTCAATAATAACCCTAAATGTTAATGGCTTAAACTCACCAATTAAGAGACACAGGTTAGTAGAATGGATCACAAAACAAGACCCAACAATATGCTGCCTACAGGAGACGCATTTGATAGGAAAAGACATACATAGGCTGAAGGTGAAAGGTTGGGAAAAATCATATCACTCATATGGACTTCGGAAACAAGCAGAAGTGTCCATACTCATATCAAATAAAATAGATTTCAAGCCAAAGTTAATCAAAAGGGATAAAGAGGGACACTACATACTGCTTAAGGGAACCATACACCAACAAGACATAACAATCATAAATATATATGCCCCAAACAATGGTGCAGCTATGTTCACCAAACAAACTCTTCTCAAGTTCAAGAGTCTAATAGACCACCATACAATAATCATGGGAGACTTCAACACACCTCTCTCGCCACTGGACAGATCTTCCAAACAAAAGTTGAATAAGGAAACTATAGAACTCAATAACACAATTAATAACCTAGACTTAATTGACATATATAGAATATACCACCCAACATCAAGCAGTTACACTTTTTTCTCAGCAGCACATGGATCCTTCTCAAAAATAGATCATATATTATGTCACAGGGCAACTCTTAGACAATATAAAGAAGTAGAGATAATACCATGCATCTTATCTGATCATAATGGAATGAAACTGAAAATCAACGATAAAAGAAGGAAGGAAAAAGCATACATCACTTGGAGAATGAACAATAGGTTACTGAATGATCAATGGGTTATAGAAGACATCAAGGAGGAAATTAAAAAATTCTTAGAGATAAATGAAAACACAGACACAACATATCGGAATCTATGGGACACATTGAAAGCAGTTCTAAGAGGAAAATTCATTGCTTGGAGTTCATTCCTTAAAAAAAGAAAAAACCAACAAATAAATGATCTCATACTTCATCTCAAAATCCTAGAAAAAGAAGAGCAAAACAACAGCAAAAGAAGTAGAAGGCAAGAAATATTAAAATCAGAGCTGAAATTAATGAAATCGAAACAAAAGAAACAATTGAAAAAATTGACAAAACTAAAAGTTGGTTCTTTGAAAAAATAAACAAAATCGACAGACCCTTAGCCATGCTAGCGAAGAGAAGAAGAGAGAGAACTCAAATTACTAGCATATGGGATGAAAAAGGCAATATCACAACAGACACTTCAGAAATACAGAAGATAATCAAAAATTATTTTGAATCCTTATACTCCAATAAATTAGAAGATAGTGAAGGCATCGATAAATTTCTTAAGTCATATGATCTGCCCAGATTGAGTCAGGAGGATATAGACAACCTAAACAGACCAATATCAATTGAGGAAATAGAAGAAACCATCAAAAGACTACCAACTAAGAAAAGCCCAGGACCGGATGGGTATACAGCAGAGTTTTACAAAACCTTTAAAGAGGAACTAATACCAATACTTTTCAAGCTACTTCAGGAAATAGAAAAAGAGGGAGAACTTCCAAATTCATTCTATGAGGCCAACATCACCCTGATACCTAAACCAGACAAAGACACTTCAAAGAAAGAAAACTACAGACCAATATCTCTAATGAACCTAGATGCAAAAATCCTCAATAAAATTCTGGCCACTTGGATACAAAAACATATCAAAAAAATTGTGCACCATGATCAAGTAGGATTCATCCCTGGGATGCAAGGCTGGTTCAATATATGGAAATCAATAAATGTTATTCACCACATCAATAGACTTAAAAATAAGAACCATATGATCATCTCGATAGATGCGGAAAAAGCATTCGACAAAGTACAGCATCCCTTTATGTTCAAAACTCTAGAAAAACTAGGGATAACAGGAACATACCTCAATATTGTAAAAGCAATCTATGCTAAGCCTCAGGCTAGCATCATTCTGAATGGAGAAAAACTGAAGGCATTCCCTCTAAAATCTGGAACAAGACAGGGATGCCCTCTCTCTCCACTTCTGTTCAACATAGTTCTCGAAACACTGGCCAGAGCAATTAGACAGACGAAAGAAATTAAAGGCATAAAAATAGGAAAAGAAGAACTTAAATTATCACTATTGCAGATGACATGATTCTATACCTAGCAGACCCAAAAGGGTCTACAAAGAAACTATTAGAGCTAATAAATGAATTCAGCAAAGTGGCAGGATATAAAATCAACACGCATAAATCAAAGGCATTCCTGTGTATCAGCAACAAATCCTCTGAAATGGAAATGAGGACAACCACTCCATTCACAATATCTTCAAAAAAAAAATAAAATACTTGGGAATCAACCTAACAAAAGAGGTGAAAGACTTATACAATGAAAATTACAGAACCCTAAAGAGAGAAATAGAAGAAGATCTTAGAAGATGGAAAAATATACCCTGTTCATGGATAGGCAGAACTAACATCATCAAAATGGCGATATTACCAAAAGTTCTCTATAGGTTTAATGCAATGCCAATCAAAATCCCAACGGCATTTCTTGTAGAAATAGAGAAAGCAATCATGAAATTCATATGGAAAAATAAAAGACCCAGAATAGCAAAAACAATGCTAAGCAGGAAGTGTGAATCAGGCGGTATAGCGATACCAGACTTCAAACTATACTACAGAGCAATAGTAACAAAAACAGCATGGTACTGGTACCAAAACAGGTGGGTGGACCAATGGTACAGAATAGAGGACACAGAAACCAATCCACAAAACTACAACTACCTTATATTTGATAAAGGGGCTAAAAGCATGCAATGGAGGAAGGATAGCATCTTCAACAAATGGTGCTGGGAAAACTGGAAATCCATATGCAACAAAATGAAACTGAATCCCTTTCTCTCGCCATGCACAAAAGTTAATTCAAAATGGATCAAGGAGCTTGATATCAAATCAGAGACACGCCGTCTGATAGAAGAAAAAGTTGGCTACAATCTACAGTCGGTGGGGTCGGGCTCCAAATTCCTCAATAGGACACCCATAGCACAAAAGTTAATAACTAGAATCAACAAATGGGACTTACTCAAACTAAGAAGTTTTTTCTCAGCAAAAGAAACAATAAGAGAGGTAAATAGGGAGCCTACATCCTGGGAACAAATCTTTACTCCTCACACTTCAGATAGAGCCCTAATATCCAGAGTATACAAAGAACTCAAAAAATTAGACAAGAAGATAACAAACAACCCAATCAACAAATGGGCCAAGGACCTGAACAGACACTTCTCAGAGGAGGACATATAGTCAATCAACAAGTACATGAAAAAATGCTCACCATCTCTAGCAGTCAGAGAAATGCAAATCAAAACCACCCTAAGATACCATCTCACTCCAGTAAGATTGGCAGCCATTATGAAGTCAAACAACAACAAGTGCTGGCGAGGATGTGGGGAAAAGGGTACACTTGTACATTGCTGGTGGGACTGCAAATTGGTGCAGCCAATTTGGAAAGCTGTATGGAGATTTCTTGGAAAGCTGGGAATGGAGCCACCATTTGACCCAGCTATTCCCCTTCTCGGTCTATTCCCTAAAGACCTAAAAAGAGCATGCTACAGGGACACTGCTACATCGATGTTCATAGCAGCACAATTCACAATAGCAAGACTGTGGAACCAACCTAGATGCCCTTCAATAGACAAATGGATAAAAAAAATGTGGCATTTATACACAATGGAGTATTACTCTGCATTAAAAAATGACAAAATCATAGAATTTGCAGGGAAATGGATGGCATTAGAGCAGATTATGCTAAGTGAAGCTAGCCAATCCCTAAAAAACAAATGCCAAATGTCTTCTTTGATATAAGGAGAGCAACTAAGAACAGAGTAGGGACGAAGAGCAGGAGAAGAAGATTAACATTAAACAGGGATGAGATGTGGGAGGGAAAGGGAGAGAGAAGGGAAATTGCATGGAAATGGAAGGAGACCCTCAGGGTTATACAAAAGTACATACAAGAGGAAGTGAGGGGAAAGGGAAAAATAATACAAGGGGGATAAATGAATGTCAGTAGAGGGGGCAGAGAGAGAAGAGGGGAGGGGAGGGGAGGGGAGGGGGGATAGTAGAGGACAGGAAAGGCAGCAGAACACAACAGACACTAGTATGGCAATATGTAAATCAATGGATGTGTAACTGATGTGATTCTGCAATCTGTATATGGGGTAAAAGTGGGAGTTCATAACCCACTTGAATCAAAGTGTGAAATATGATATATCAAGAAACATGTAATGTTTTGAGCAACCAACAATAAAAAATTAAAAATAAAATATATATAAA